GGTGTTTGTCAACCGGAAGAAAGCGCTGTGCTGCCACGCAGATTTTTAAAATCCCAATGTATAGTAGGGCCTATAATATAGTCCAATAACTAATATTTTACCCAGATTTAAAAAATAAATAAAACATAATATTGAACATATAAATACGTGCGCGTGTGATAAAAACATACATCTTTTATTTCCTAACATTTTTTTTTAACATAAGCAACTCCTAATCACCTAAAAACTTTAGATGCGCCCAAAAGGGTAGGAAGAAAGAGCTCGCGATCCGCCGCAGAGTAATTCCCCCCCCCCCTTTTTTTTCTTCTTTTTATAGGTGAGAGTGCATTTGCGACTAAAAAAAACTTAATTTAATTTTACTACCAATTACTAATAATTATCATATATTGGAACAGGTTAAATTCTTTACAGTGTATTAAGTCTTTTATTCTGACCCTATGAAATAAAAATATTAGTTTGAAAACAGGAGCAAAGACGAAAACAAACAAACAAAAACCGTCATCTAAGGGCGAAATTTGAGAGATATTTTCTTTTGATGACGCATGATGACTAAAATAACAACCTCAATGTTGGCCTATGATGGTTGCCTCTCTCTCTCTCTCTCTCTATATATATATATATATATATATATATATATAGGTCTATACAAGTGGTCGGCAAACTCATTAGTCAAAAGAGCCAAAAATCAGCAGCAGGATGATTAAAATATTTTTGAGAGCTAAAGTTCTTTTCAAGAACTGTCAAGATCAATGTTTTTCAGAGTCAAAACCGATTTGTGGGCGACTGGCCGAGCCGCACTCAGGTCGCTAAATAGCCGCATGCGGCTCGCGAGCCACGATTTGCTGACCACTGGTCTATACTTACAAAAAAAAAGTATGCTGTAGAATTCTTCAGCGCGCAGAAGTTAGAACCCAAGCGAAGCCATTTAAAAATATTAACTGTAAACGCAGCCCTTGTGATTTTATGTAAGTACCTTGACCTCACCCACCCAAGTACTATCTACCCCTGTCTAGCTATGGACAGCACCCAGCAGCATCGAGCATTGTTTATCAGTTAGAAAAAAAGGGGGCGGGGGTGTGAGAATGAGTCGGTAAAGTAGAGTTTAAAGAGATGGTCTTGAGGGCAGTTTTGAAGGGTTGGATGGTCGATGTAGTGGGATGTGTAATTGGAGAGAATTTCATCGTTTGGGCGCACAGAAAGAGAAATATCGTTCACCATATTATGTTTAAGTGCGTGTTCTGGGAACAGAAAGGATATCCGTGTTAGCGGTGGAACGAAGCTTTCGGAGGGGTGAATAAACAGAAAGAAGTTCAGAAAGATAGGAAGGGCAGGAACCAGAGAGAAGTTGTGATATTTAATCCCGGTCATGTGCTTTCCTTTCCAGTTGCTTCTAGGTTTATCCCATTCTTTGTGTGCCTGCCTCTAGCTCGTGACTCCATGTACTCTTGGGCCTTCCACTCTTTCTTCCTTCCCGTGGATTCCATATTAGGGCTTGTCTGGTGATGTTATCTGAGAGTTTACGAAGAGTGTGCTTTATAAACCTCCATCTTTACCTTATGATATCTTCTTCTATATCTTAAGGGCCCACGATCAATTTATTGATCCTTTTGGCTCCTATATCTTCAGGAATAGGCTCCTAGAGTGTACTTTCCAGTGAGTCTTTGTTGGTGATGATGTTTGTCCATTGATGTTCAGAATCTTTCTAAGGCAAATGTTTATGAAGGTCTGTACTTACTGCATGATGCTCCCCGAAGTTCTCCACTTTTCGGCTCCATAGAGTAAGACTGTTTTGACATTTGCGTTGAAAGTTCTGACTTTGGTTTGCAGAGTCAGCTCCTTTGACTCCCATATTTTCGTTAATAGCACAAATCCTGACCTAGCCTTTCAAATTCTAGATCTGACATCCGCTTCGGATCCCTCATTTATGCTAATGATGCTGCCTAAGTTTGCGAAGACCCCCATTTCTTCCAGTGAGCTTCCTGCTAGAGAATTGTGCTTTTGGTTGAGTTTACGTTCATGATCTTTATCTTGCTTTTATTTATACGGAGCCCGAGCTGTGCTGAACCTGCATTTGTTGCTGGTTGTGGGACATACGTGCAATGTCATTTGCGAAGTCTAGGTCATTTAGCTTTTCCCAGGGTGTCCACTGTATCCTGTTCCTCTTTTTGTCTTTTCATTACCCAGTCAGGGCAAGGATGAATAGAAAGGGGGACAAGAGACATCCTTGTCTGTTTCCATTTTAAGGGCATCTATTAGTCTACCTTCGTAGAGAGCTCTGAATGATCCTACCTAGTTTTCCTGGTACCTCATAAATGCTGGCGAAGTTTCCACTAGGTTGGTCGGTCCATTTTATCAAAGGCCTTTTCGTAGTCGATACAATTTTGATATGGGGGCTGTTCCATTCGATGGGTTTTTCTACAATGATTCGTAGTGTTGCAATTTGGTATGTGCATGATTTGTTTTGGCAGAAGCCAGCCTGTGGATCTCGTAGCTGCATGTTGACCTGGTCCTTCATTCCGTTAAAAATAATTCTGTTAAAGAACTTTCCTGGTACAGACAGCAGTGGAAGCACTGTGTAGTTTGCAGTTGCTGAGATCCCCTGTCTTTGGTATATTGACGAGGTATCCTTCTTTCCAATTTAATATTTTCGAACTCTCTTCTTCCCATATTTTTTCAAACAGAGGGTGAAGCATGTTGACTATTGTATCTATATCTGCACTAACATCATCTTTGTTGTAATGTTATCCGGTGCCGATACCGCTTAGGTATAGGAATTAACAATTTTGTGATTTTTGTATAAATTCAATAATTTATTTCTCGGGAACCCTAGGGTGTTATGCTCTATATTATACTCTACAGCTTGCCGGGATTTTTACTTTTATTCGGGTTGCAGTCTCTAGTAAATTGTCATTTATCGCAGCAGATCTGCCAGAAGTTAAGTAATAGACCGTCCTGTTCAATGTGTTACGTAGTTGCTCTCTGGAATTTCCGAACTTCTGGTAGAGTACGTTGCTGAATCCATGTACTGGCATATGTGCAACAGTTGGGGAAGCGATGCTGCTATCCTAACAGCTCCTAGTGGATGCCAGGGCAGCCTTGAAGTTCTCGATTGATGTCGAGTCCACAGCGGCATTGTCCAGGTTGTTCCAAGAAATTATTGTGCCAAGGAAGAATGATTGTTTTTACTGCATTGTGTTACACCGAGACACAGTGAAGCATTTACTATTGTTCCAGATGTATTTGCTTATGGGGTTGTTAGAGGTGAAGTCAGTGTTTATTGAGCGTTTGGCTCTAATTAAACGACCTGGCTTCTGTGGGGTGAGATACGTGTTTGCTGGGATGGCCGGCACCAGACCCATGACCACTTTATACAAGAATGTTAGGTGGAGCTTTTCTCGTCTGTCTATGAGGGAGGGGATGTCAAATCTTTTTAAGAGGCCAGCGAGGAAGCCAGGAGTTGTCGATTTGTAGTCACGTGCGATGAAGCGCATTGCATCACGTTGGATTCGCTCCATCTTGTCCACGTCTTGCTTTAGGTGTGGGTCCCAGGTGATCGCACCATATTCTAGTAGTGGATTGACGAGTGCGAGATAGGCATTTCGTTTGCAGGAGGTTGGGCAATGGCGCAGATTTCTTCGAATGAAACCTAGGGTGGAGTTGGCTTTTAAAAAAAAAATGTTTATATCGGGGTGACCATTTTAGGGTATTAAATAAGAGAATTCCAAGGTTTTGATTGTTTGATACTTGTTGGAGAAGTGCTTTGTTTAGGGAGTACATACATTTTGATGTTTTTTTTTCCTTGAGATGCTCATTGTGTAGCATTTGGTTTCGTTGAAGCCCTATTTGTCCGCCCAATTCATAAAGCACTTCAAGTCTGCTATTTAAACCCTATTTATAGTGAGCACACCAATGTGTTTTTCCATTCAAGTATCCCGAAAGTGACCATTGCTCACTGGTACCATTTGGACGCTTTGTAAGTATAATCAAATACACATTTATATTTCTGTGTTTGTAGAATGAATGCGATAGGTGTTAGTAATGGAAAAGTTCTGTTCATGACTTATATTAGGCAGTTTCTTAATCACGCGTTAGCTCCGTCACTTTGACTTGCATGATATTGTAATGGTTGAACATACAGAAATCCACTGAATTCTCAAATGGAATTAGATACCAGTGTGTACGTGAGCATAATACCAACCATTATATCGTTATATATTAACACACATTGCAATGTGCTTATAAGCGATTGCTACAACAGTATCCAACAAGCGAATGTACGTAAAGGTGTATATTAATTATCCTGCCAATTGCAAAATGCTCGCATAGGAAATGGTGCATGTGTTATTAAAAGTTGCATTAAATTATTAGACATTGTGCTTTTGTACTTAAAAGACACCTCGATTGATTGATACAGCACGTATTAAACTAATGGTTGTTATATTTTATAACATTGTCGTAATTGTCCTGCTTTGGTGAATCTTTTATAGACACCATACATGGACGACATTACAATAGTAATTTCTAGACCTGGATGTTATCCCTCGCATCTCAGACCTTTAAGTTAGTTCTCACATCTCACACTGATTCTGAATCTAAGACGGTGAACGTGCTACAAGTTAAACACTGCCCCATGATTTCTTTTATAATTAAACATTATTGCAAGAATAAAATTTTAATTGCCATTTATATAACAGTTTGGTCATCTCTATTGTCAGTTAAGTATATTTTGTCACAGCCTGTAGTTACAGAGTTGTTTAACATGTTTATTTCTCAGCTGTGTTATTCAAATGTTAGTCAGAACATTGTTAACCTGTAGGCCTATAGTATTTATATCTTTTCAGATATTGTCCCTTTTTTTACCATTTTTCTTCAGATCCTATTTCTTGGAACTTTTTCTTAGGATTGACTTCTACTACCACTCCTTTTAGTGCATTTTTAAATTAAAAGTTAACGAAACTTTCCCACCCCGGAATTAGCTAAACTTGTTTGTTTAATTTCGGTAAAAGGAGGACCAAGTAAGGAAGAAATGAACAACAAAGTAGTAAAAGTACTGTCAAGTGTGAAGTACAACCGATACTGCCAACAGGTAGGAACCGCAGTCGTAGTGCTGCCACAGTGCTTACCCTTCCCTGACTTTTAACCTAAACTATTGTGGCGGAGTTTTTTTTTGGTTTTGGGGGGGGGGGGGTGTTATTTTTAGACTTTCGATGCTAAGAAGACGGAGCCCTTTTACTTTTTAAACAACCCCGGCAGTGCCAGCACTTCGTTGGCCTTGGCAAAAATAAATTAACTTTAAGTAACTACTTTTAAAATATAAAACTATACAATATAATATGGTTGGCAATCAACCACTTGAGCATCGGCCAAGAAAAAATCCAGCTGTTCTTGTTGGAAGGGCTATTTAAACAAATTTTCTTATATTATTTTTAATGACATTAGCAGATATTCATTCCCATAAGCCATAATAAGAGACAATTTTTGTAAAATAGGAAAACTATATAACAATTTTTTTGAAATAGAAGATATTAGATATTGTGTGAAAATGGAATTGTGCATAGTTCTCTCCCAAGTTGACAATGAAGTTTTAAAAAATATAATTTCCAAGAAAACGGTTGTGGTACATGAATCCACGTAAATATGAAGGGGAAAGATCACCGCTTGTGCCTAACAGTCTTTTCAGTTTACGCTTTTTGTAGGTACTTTGACACACATTTTAAATATTGTCCAATAGCCACAAATGATACACCATTTTAAAGGGCTCGCTATAAGCTTTGCAAAAACACCAATTTCATCTTTCTATCTTTTATGGAAAAAAAGTTATGATTTTTTTGGTGAATTTTTTAACCCCTTTATTTATCTTTGTATTTAACGAAAAAACTTGTGACCAACTTTCCACATTTCTGCTTTATTTTGTCCACAACTTTTTTATTTTAAAAGATAATGCTACCAAACTTTCAGGAGACATTCTCAATGCAATATACAACACAATAAACAACAAAACTTTTATATAACATCAAGACTTTTATTTTTTTATATATTTAATCGAGGGTATGTTCAGAAAAAAGTGAACAGAAAAATTGGGAAAATCATTATTTATACAGGAAAAATTGAAAAAAATAACATGTTTATTGAATTTTAACTAATTTTATTATGCTTGTGTTAAATTTTAAATCATTATATTTATAAAAAGGTAAGTAGTCTTTTTTTATATATAAAATTGAACGCATGTAATTATATATAACAAATACTAATATCACCCATAAAACTAATTACAAGCATACCCTTATCGGAGTATGTCATTAAATATTAAAAGGTAATGGGGATCTTCTGCCTGCCATTTTCCGGGTAGAATGCCCTACAGTGACTTCTTTGTCTTGTTGATGAAACCCACAAATTTTTCCTTCATAAACTTTGTCGCCGCCATCTGCATCCAAACGTTCCGCCTTATTGGATATGGGCCATGGAAGGAATTCCAAAGTTTGCAACAGAAATGTAAACTTTTCTCTTCCACCCAAAAGAAGCCTAACATTAAATACTAATCATAATTCTGAATCTATACAATTTTTAGTTTCTTTTTAATATTATTCAAGTGATGTTTTTATTAAATTTATTTCCTTTTTTTTTGTTTTGTTTATTTAATTAGAAATATATTATTGTTGATATAAATGTTAACATTTTCTTATGCTTCTGTCCTAGTTTGATATAATTACTATGATGATGTAGAGTGTTATTTATTTATTTATTTTAATAAACTTGTTATAGACCAATTCATAGGTTATCTAATTTTAATTTTAAACAAGTCACAGTGACGCAATTTTCACAAAAAATATATCATATGCCTGTACAAAAAAAAATAATTTTATAATGCATTACCATATGCCGTATAGCTATATTGCAGCTCAAGTTTTTCCGTGATTTTTCGACTGCGCAGAAGGGATGCGCGTGCGTCTTTTAAAATACCTAAAACTTTTTGAGCAATTACGTTTTCCACATTCTGTATGTGGACATCCGCGTCATCTGGATCAAAAAAATAATTGTAGTCTCTTTTTCTTCCTGGCATATCGGTAGCTTGCAGTAATAATTATTTAAATGTATTATTATTGTGCTATATAACTTTATAGCCTATACGAAAGAAAAAATATTAACACACTCCAATGTAAGAAGATTTGTTTAAATAGCCCTTCCAACCGGAACATCTTTACTTTTTCTTGGCCGACGCTCAAGTGGTAGATTACCATATAATTTATAATTTAACAAACTGAAATCTCAACATTTAAGCAAATAAGATATTCTGATTTGCATACTTCATTATGCATACAATTTTTATTTTTACAATTTACACTCACTTTCACTTAGAGTTAGAAGAAATGTGATAGGCTTTATATGCTTTACTTAACTTGCTTGCAGAATTTTGTTAAATTTTCTGATTGTTGAAGCCTAAATTCCTAATAAGTATTTAAATGAGATGCATTGTAATTTTGAAAAAAATGCATACAATATTTCACTGGGGATGCTTAAAAGGCGTAGGCCTTTTAGCATATTTCAAGTTCATATATTTTTTAAAGCATTTTCATTTGTTATTTGTGAGGTTGCTAGGTTAAACAAATTATTTTAAATGGCTGAAGACCATAAATTGTCAATGGAAGCCACCATTACCATGGTAAGATTATTAAAAAATGCAAGAAGGAATCTGATTAGTTGGTACGAAGACCAGCTAGCCAATCTCAAGGCGTGTATTATCCGTCTTGAGACTCACGAGTCAAGAGAGTTAAGTTTGGTGCCCCAGTGCGGTTGCACACGTTTCCCATTGCACCAGGGACTGGTGACAGATTTATTAATTGGTTTTATTTGAACTTGAATAGTTCCTAAAAAAATTTATTTAATCTGTAATGATAATCAGCCTATTTGATAAAGATTTTGTAACAGTCACACTGTATTGAGTAGTGTATTACAATGACTCAACTGTACATCAAAGTTTCTTCATTCTCTTCTATCAGCTGTAGGATGTAAAATTCCAGAGGCAATATCCTAAAGCTGATTAAAAAAAAAAAATCAAGGCTGCCCATTTAAAAATTCACTCTTCAGATTGTGAGTCAGACTGGACAGATTGGTCATCTCCACAATTGAATAACTAGTAGGCCCTACTTTGACATTAATTGCAGAAAAATAATGAGTTGCAATGACAATGGCTGGTTATGCTAAGTTGCAGTCTTTGTTTTTAGTTATGAACATTAAATTGCAGATAAACCACAAAATATGTCAGCAAAAGAAACAGCAGCTAAAGCAATGTGCCAAGCAGCTCGTGTGGTTTCAGAAAGAGCAATAGCTGCAGAGCCCCAACCAGACTAAGCCAAAAGCAATCCCATCATCACTGTATCCTATGAACGCAAAAGTGTGGCCATTCATAATAGAAACAGGGTTGGTGTTGCAATAGACATGGATAATGCCCTAGTTTTTGGATTCCCAGGTTATTAGTAGCTACAAATATTGTAAAATGTGTACCATTGGGTTAAAGCGAGGTTCACCTGAGTTTGACCCTGGATGGAAGCTTACAAAGCTAAATGCCAGAATTGTAAAAAAGAAATTTAATTTATGACACCATGCTTTGTGACAGAGATGTAAAAGAATTCAACAAAGTCCAGAAATGCTATGATATTGAAATTACCAAAGAAGAGTGAATAAACCATATTGCTCAAAAAAATGTTTTAATCACTTCAAAATGTATAGAAATCAAATAAACTTTAAATTGCAAACTGGTGAAAAAAATAACTACTGTATTTATTGGCATATAACATGCACTGTTTCTCCCCGAAAATAGGGGGCAAATCATGTGTGTCTGTTATACGCCGATATAATGTTTATTATTTTTTTCCTGAAATTTCCTTCTTAAATTTAGGTGCGTGTTAGATGCCAATAAATACGGTAATTCCTATGCTAAAATATTAAAAAAATAATGCTCCTGATGTAAGAAATACTGAAGCTAGGGGTCTTAGGGTTTTTTTTTTTCATATGATGAGCACTGACAAAGCACCTAACCACTGAATTTGTCTAGAGGGAGAAAATTCATGGTGCCACAACTACAGAGCACTAAAGATTGGTCTACTGGTCTGCATGGATAACGAAGACATATATTTTCAATGCAAGTAGGGAGTATTTTCTACCCTATTATCACAAGTTTGACTGATTAAAATTTTCTTCACCCATTTAAAAGGATACACATAATGCCAAGAAAGCTTCAACTCATTGATTTTGAAGTGCTGCCCTCAAATTGAGTATATTTCAATGCCAGCAGTGAAGACGGCAACTTCACATGCCATATTATCATTAACTGTGGTCCTGTAGGATTAAGACTGAAAACGAACAAAATTGTATTAAAGAGGGGCATTTGGACATTATTTTTTCAACCAGGTTTCCAATGGATCACTGAATCCTCTCCATGACCTTATAGAATTGTGTACTTCAAGCAGTTCACTTATAAAATTAATATTTTATAAAACTCACTGCAAGCGGTAAATTTAAACAAAATAATGTACAAAGATACATTTTTTTCTTTTGTTTCTTATTATTCCACTCACTCAGCCACTGACCACTGTTACACTACACTGACTACAGGCTGGATAAGCACAGTAGCCCCTACAGTATATGCTCTAGCCGAATAAAGTCTACTTTAGCTGGTAATCTTAATCTCAAATTATTTTTGGCATTCTTGTACATTTCCCGAATAATACTCTTTCCTTTAAGGCTATTTAACTATTTTTAAGGCTGGACATAAACTTTATGTAAGTTCACTTCATGGGAAAATATTTTGAATTTAACAGTGGTTTCCCTTTGCATTTCACATTCAACATTATATAGTTGTTTGAGTCTATTTAATCATCCTGACACATATTTGAGGCCAGATTCAATTTACTGTGAAAGAAACTTTTTTAAATAATCTTCATTGAGTGTATAAATATTTTTAAAAATGTATTCCTTAAAAATTAGGATATGAAATTTAAGTCTCACCCCAAAATTAAGTTTTTAAAGAAAATGTATTATGCAAGGAAAAAAAAAAGGTATATTTACTCAATTTAAACTCCACACTGACAGTGCAATGGATTCCAGAATACCAACAATTATACTAATCTACAATACATACAAATATAAACATACCGGTACTCATTGAATTAGCGAAAATGAATAGAGTTCCAACTCATCGGGCATGAGTGACCAACCAAGACATTAGGGCCCAGCACACAGCACTGTGCTACTTTCAATTTCAGTGGGTGTATGCGTGTTATAGTCTGGGGTTTACCAGTGCCATCACAGTGGCACTCACAGCATGTGTTACATTATTACCTGTAGGAGGAAGCTTGCCGCATGTCATTTCTTATGTTATTTTAAAATTCTTAACGACTATTAAATTTTGTATCTTATACAAATATAATAATTTATACAGACATTTAGCAACAAATTCAAGACAAGAAATTAGAGGCTTTGTCACTTAATGAAACAAAGATGTTTTGGAGTGTCATAATCCTCAGTGTAGTATTTGTTATGACTTACTCAATATTTAACTGGATTATCTCAAGATTGAAGATTTCAAAGTTTCATGAAAAATATATCCTTATTACTGGATGTGACAGTGGGTTTGGACAGGCATTGTCAATGTAAGTTGTCAAACCAATTTATTACCTCTATTTTAGAAATTAAGTGAAATAATATATCAGCCATTTAATAATGAGCAAAAATCTGTTCTGAAATTAATATTGATTATTTGTATTTATATAATTTCTGTACCATTTACTTTTTTCATAAATAAATATCTGAAAATGCAGAGGTTTTTCTTTTGTTAGAGAACTGACTCTGTTGCAGGCGCCTTGATTACTTAGGATTTCATGTCTTTGCTGGCTGCCTTACAAAAGATGGTTGCACTTATTTATCAGAGAGAGCATCTGGACGATTATTTCCCTTTTTAATGGACGTCACCAAGTCAGAAAGTATTGAGCAAGCTCTAAAAATTGTGAAAGAGAAATTGCCCATTGACAGAGGTAATATGATAATGGTAATATGATAATAATATTGTTGTGGTATGTTTGAATTAGGAAAGCATTCTATTTATAAATCTATGAACTAGATTTAAATATCTGTATAAATATGTGTTTAAATATCACTAGTATTTGAATGTTTTCTATTAAAAATCAGGACTCTGGGGTCTTGTGAACAATGCTGGAGTGGCCAGGATGATGGGGAACCTTGAATTTTGTACTATGGAAGACTATCAAAAAGTTTTAAATGTCAATTTGTTTGGGCTAATAGAGGTGACTCGGATATTTCTGCCACTGATCAGAAGAGCTCATGGTCGTATTGTCAACATGTCCAGTGTATCAGGGCGAATTGCTGTAGCTGGTGGGCCCTACTGTTGTTCCAAATATGGAGTGGAAGCTTTTTCTGATATTTTAAGGTAATTTAATGTATTTTTATTTCTCCAAACCAACCCATTGGCCATACTGCAAAATTCAATGATTTCTTAGTGATAATAGATTAGACCAAGCAATGTAATTCTCACTCATTTTCACACAAGTCTTAAAGTGCTAAGTTAATTTACTTTTCAATCACATGGTGCAGAATAAAATTCCATGTGTTTCTTAGTGAAATAAGCAAGCAAGGTTCTCTTTCTGTGCCCCCAAACAATGGAATTCTCTTCCATTACACATCTGCAATATACCGACCATCACAGCCTTCAAAACTGCACTCAAAACACATCTTTTTAAACTCTACTGTCCTGACTGATTCCCACCTCTGACCAAAAAACGATTCTGCTGGGTGTCGTCCATGGCTTGACATGGAAATAGTTTTAAATATACATTTTTTTTTTTTCATGTAATTAATGTATGTTAATTAATTTTTAAAGTTTTGATTGTTTGTTAAATTGTAAGTACAGCGTGGTGAGCCCAGCCAAGGCTGGGGTACCACGCTATATAAAACCACTTATAATAATAATAATAGCTTCATTGATATTAATAAATAAAGTTGTGAATATCTTCAGTGGTAATTTTAACTTAAAAACCAAAGAAATTAGAATTGATAAAAATTGACATTTCAACCTGTCACCATAAAGTAGTTTACTAACCAAATTTATTTCTCTTAACTTTATTAGCTCTCAAATAAAAACACACAGCATATAAAAACAACTCAGGAAGCTAATGTCATTTAGTGTGGGACATGAACGAGCAAACACAAATCGTGTGATGACACTAGTAACAGATTAAGACGAGCATGAGTATTCCAGGAGCTATATTTTGTTATTTATAGAAGTTTATCAAGGTGTTGAAAATTGGAATGAGTTCTCTATAATGTCCCTTGTCAGTGATAGTAACAACAATGGGAATGATGATGCATTATGTAGCAGAGGTAACCCTATAACTGATAGGTTTTACAGAAAATTAGTCCAGCAGCAAATTTGTTGCATTTTTATCTGAACCTGATGTCAGTTCTAATAGCTGTAAAATTCCCACTCATTTGAGGGTCAAACCTTTGATTGTTCAGGAAAGATAATACAGAAACAATTTTGTAGTTTATTATTGAACTATTCTCGATGTGGAATATCTTTGTTTACATTGAAATTGTTTCCTTACAGACAAGAGGTTTATTCTCAAAACATCAGGGTGTCCATTATTGAACCTGGAAATTTCAAGACAAATATAGTTGATGTGGACACAATGGTTGAGGAGATGAAGAGGGCTTATGAGAGGGCAAGTCCAGAAGTCCAAAGTGTCTATGGAAATGACTATGTGGATTCATGTAGGCCAAAGATATCACTCTTTTATCACATATAAACATTATCACATTATATCACACCTATACTACATAGATATCTCTAATATAACAAAGATTTACTATTAAATGAAATGTTAATATCACTCTCTGGACACCTAAGTTAATTCCAATATAATAAAAAATTGTTGGGGGGGGGAGTGGAATACTGCAATCAGGTTGAAGGAATATTAAATTTAATTCACAGGGAAGAGGGAAAATCTGAAAGAAGATGAAACAAATTAATGAAAATGTCTGCAAAAAGCTCTGGCCAGCAAACAAAGCTTTATCAATATTGAATGGAAAAGGGAAAAGGAACTTATCATGTTTCTAAGAGATCACTGTCAAACTGTCTAAATGTTTTTTTCCTTTCAGTTAGAGGTCTAATCACTGAGGTAAAATCTACTGGCTCACCTGACATAAATCCTGTCCTTGATGACATCACTCATGCACTCACGGCTAGAGTCCCTTATACCAGGTATATCCCAGGAAATGATGTCAAATATATCTTGGTTCCACTGTCCTATCTGCCAGACTGGATTGTGGACTGGGTGATGAGGACAATCAAGACTAGAAGATCACAAATAGAGAAAAATAAAAGCACTTGAGTCAAGAAATGGATATAATCGAGTTTTATCTTGACATAAGAACATTTCAAGTGTGAATTGTTAGTTTACATCCATACTTGCCAACATGTGGGAGAAAAAAAAACTGTATAAAAATTCCCCCCCCCCCCCTCCACCTACATCAGCATGAAAAACTATACCCAAACAAAAGAGATAAATAATACTTTTTCATCATTTTTATCAATGGTTTGAATGCATGAATAAAAATTAATAGTCTTCCCATCAGCATGTTTACATAATTCATTAAGAGATATATCACATCTTTTAAATAGAACTAGATTGTTACAAGTGTGATGCAAGTCTGATTTTCGCCAAATTTTGAGTTATTTACCCAAGTCACTAGCAATTTTATTAAAAATGGACAGATAACGAATTCTAAAGAAATTTAGATGTAATAAGACCTATGTGCTAGCTGCAGTAATACAGATTCCTGTACGGTATTTAAATTTAAAAAAGTTAAATAAAGTTCTTCAATCTTGACAAAGTTGAGTTTACCTTTCAACGGCTAACCTCATTTTTCAGCGTAAAGGATTATGCCATTCTGTTGTAATAAATAGGAATAATGACTAATTCTAGTCCTTGAGTGATAGCAATAGTAAATACATTTAACTATTTAAATAAATGTAAAGGACACTTAATAACACTGCAGTTCTTAAGATTTTCACACACATATTTTTAATTATTGTTTACTATCCAAGTAGCTACTACCATACTATGCGGTCTTGGTATTAACGAATTATATAAATGAAACTGTGCTTTTTCTAAATTTAGATGGCCTACAGATACTCAAATAGGTAATTTTAATGGATCAATAGGATTCAAGCTTCTTGTCAAAAGTAAAATTTGTTGTACTACCAGTTTTGAATGTGTGCCATGTGCAAAAATATTTATTTTCTAAAACCAGTGAAAAACTCTACAAACGCCTTTATGGCCGTACAACTTTGCAAACTTTAAAAAACTACAAAGTACAGGTAAACCGTACAGGTTGGCATGTATGCTACATCATTTCTCACTATTTCGTTCATGGGGGCATGTTTTCGTGGGGATTTTTTTATTTGTGTCTACTTACAACACATTTATTTACATGTTAACATTTGCTCAACTAAATTTTATTTTAAAAAATATGTTAAAAATAACATTTTGACATGTTCATACATTCCCAGCAGATGGCAGCATATAGCTTTCATTTTTAAAGACGTAATTTATATTGAAATACAACCCTTTACTACTTGAGTTCTAATCTTTATTTTAACAATTTTTTACTGGGAGCACATTGGTTCAGTAAAAATAATTAGACAGCATATGTGATCATGACAATCATGGAAGCTTATAAAACAAACTTTTATAAACTTGAATGAATCTGATTACTTTTATTCCTATAGCTTAAAATAAAGCTGTATTCAAAGATCCTTAAAAATCCTGAACATCTATTTCATGTGTCATTTTTTAAGTAAGATAAACACATTAAAAAAATGCAAACTCATTCTACCCAGCTTGTAACTCATGGTCTCTATCTAAATTTTACACCAGTACTTCATTGGCTCCTTGTACGCACGGATTGACTACAAACTCTTTGTTCTCTGCCACAACTTTTTTGGCTTGACATGTAAATTGTTTTAAATATACATTTGTTTTGTTTTATTTAATTAATTTATGTTAATTAATTAATTAATTTTTTAAGTTAATGATTATGTTTGTTAAATTGTATGTACAGCGTGGTGAGCCCAGCGTTAGGCTGGGATACCACTCTATGTTAAATTGTATGTACAGCGTGGTGAGCCCAGTCCTAGGCTGGGGTAACACTATGTTGAATTGTATGTGCAGTGTGGTGAGCCCAGTCCGAGGCTGGGGTACCACTCTATGTTAAATTGTATATACAGCGTGGTGAACCCAGCCCTAGGCTGGGATACCACGCTATATAAAACCACTTATAATAATAATAATAAATAATTTGTTTTATCCTGAAGACTCAGCAAAACGTCAGTGTTAGGAAGAAGAAAATCCAACTTGACCTTTCTTCTAACTGATGGATGTGTCAGAAAATAGAGGGTTTTGTCACTAATCTTATTTACACCATAAATCTATCATTGTTCAGTTTGTATCAGTGTGTACCCATCCTTTTATTTTACTGGGATATTCGAAATGGTCTGTGTAACAATCATCATTAAAAGGTTGAGGCTAATCTCTGGGGCATTATAATCTTATGTAGCTTTTGCCTCTTTCAGACAAGTCAAATAAATCTGTTACTGACAGAGTGTAATTTCTCAATGTTTTTTTGATTGAATAAAGTAAAATTGATGTTAAGCATTTCATAAAAAGTAACTGCCAATGTTAGGAGTCAATTTAAGCAATCATGTCTGTAATGTTGGATGAGTTGCCTTTGATTCAATAGGTTCATACAAGTCTTCTATACTATTTCATACAAGTCTTCTATGCTATTATATCAATGCATTCCTGATAATGTTGTCAATGACATGTGGTCCAAAAGAGTTTATACTAATACTAAACTTTCAACAATATGAACATCTTCATATATTTGATACATATTAATAACCTTTCAATAATGTCATATATTTGATACATATTAATAACCTTTCAATAATGTCAACTATTCTTTATATATTTGATTACTAATTATTATTACCAAAGTTTGAGCAATTTGAATTATTTTATTTGAATATTATGGTACCAAAGTTTCCAATAATTGAAATATTTTTATTGTTGTATAACGGATCTCGCACATTAATTAAAATCCTACAAATTATTGTCATTGTGGACTAGTATAAAAGTTTGTCTTAAATTCTTTGTTGGTTTTTCTTGAGTTGTAATTAATTGAATTGTTTTTTTGTTGGTTATTCTTGAATTTTTAGTAGCTTTGTCTTGTTGAAACCATTGGCAACCACTAACCAATAAACACACCTTTTCTACTTTTTCATGTACTGTTGATGTATAGTGATTTCAGTACAAATTGATTGCATTGTTCTATGATTATCATTTATTATTTTCAGATTTGTTCCAAGTTTCTATGATTATCATTTATTGATTTAAGATTTTTTACATTGTTCTATGATTATCATTTACTGATTTTACACTAAGACTTTGTTCCATTGTTCAGCTAATAAATCAAGGGCAGACGACCTTTGTTAATGTCACACTTAGTTTATGTTAAATCATTTGATGACTAATCTCCCATGTGTAATGTTTATTGTCTAACACAGTGGTCCCTAAACTGTTTTGTCTCGTAGACCACTTGCCATATTTTTCTGTTTTGGGTAGACCCCCTGCTTACCTGATATTGATTTGTTGCAATTTCATTAACTTCAAATGTATTTTTGACAGGTGAAATGTAGTGTGAAAAACTTTTTACAAAAATATGTTAAGTTCCAATTCAAATTAAAACGAACCAAATTAAAATTTACTTTCAGTTACATAAAATAACTAAGCAAAAAATAAATGCTTTTATTGTGAGGGATGAACCTGATGCTTTAATTATAAATTTTCAACATTTGGTATCAATTGAGTTAGGTTTAATCTTAAATCTCCTCGGTTTATGATGCCCAGTTTTTTTAAAAATTTTTTGTTAGGAGATTGGTAACTGCGCTGAAAGTTAGGAGATTGGTAACTGCGCTGAAAGTTAGGAGATTGGTAACTGCGCTGAAAGTTAGGAGATTGGTAACTGCGCTGAAAGTTAGGAGATTGGTAACTGCGCTGAAAGTTAGGAGATTGGTAACTGCGCTGAAAGTTAGGAGATTGGTAACTGCGCTGAAAGTTAGGAGATTGGTAACTGCGCTGAAACCCCTTTCCCCTAGGTATGAGGATGGAAAAGCGTCTAAAAACTTTCTCGCGTTATTCCATAACACGGGATAAATAACAGGCATTTCTTTTTGAAGCCAGAATTGCTTTCTAAACTGTACCTTAAGTTCTTCATTAGTGCTTCTTCCAATCAGTTCCTCTTGTAAAATGACATCGGTTTCTTCAATGAGAGAAAATAAAAGCGTACGCAGGCGGAGCTGCGGGAAACTGCTAGTTTATAATAATTCTTTAACAGTTTCATATATCAGAAAATATACCTAGTATGCCTAATAACTTAAATTTTAATCTGATTCTTCATCACGTTTTATGAACATTTATGTGTTTAAAATTTTTACTTCATAGGTACCGGTACTTTTATAATTTATGTAGGAAGATATATGTCTTTATATTATTTAAGTAAATAGGTACTGTGTATGTGGATTATTCCATTCATGGAATGCCAAAATAGATGTCAAGGCCTGCTTACATGAGATCCACTATCGTTGACCCCCATTTTCATTTCATGGACCCCCAAATTTTTTTTCCGCTGACATGGACCCTTTGCAAGTTGTCGTCGACCCCAGGAGGTCGATATAGACCACCTTGGGAATCACTGGTCTAACAGAATAGTATAGCCCTACTTTAGTGGACATTGTTTTACTGTTGTCCCTACTTTTGGACATTGTTTTACTGGTGCCCCTACTTTAGTGGACATTGTTTTACTGTTGTCCCTACTTTTGGACATTGTTTTACTGGTGCCCCTACTTTAGTGGACATTGTTTTACTGTTGTCCCTACTTTTGGACATTGTTTTACTGGTGCCCCTACTTTAGTGGACATTGTTTTACTGGTGCCCCTACTTTAGTGGACATTGTTTTACTGGTGCCCCTACTTTAGTGGACATTGTTTTACTAGTGCCCCTACTTTAGTGGACATTGTTTTACTGGTGCCCCTACTTTAGTGGACATTGTTTTACTGGTGCCCCTACTTTAGTGGACATTATTTTACTGGTGCTCCTACTTTAGTGGACATTGTTTTACTGGTGCCCTTACTTTAGTGGACATTGTTTTACTGGTGCCTTTTACTTTTTGTAATCACAAGCTTTCTACTATTCTAATTTCTAGTAAACATGTTTCCTTCCAAGGTTTCAATCAGCTGACCAAGTGTTAACAATTTTAGACATCAATCAGCTGACTAAGTGTTAACAATTTCAGATATCAATCAGCTGACCAAGTGTTAACAATTTTAGACATCAATCAACTGACCCCGTTATACCTTTGGTCAGTTCTGTACATAATACAACAATTTTA